GAACTGAGATCATGGTTTCCTTGTGAAGCAGGCAATAGCTTTTAAAGTGGGACAAGCTTGGATAAATTGGAAAAAAACTCCGAAACGAAGTCGCTCGATGAGTGTGAATGTGCTTCTTCGAAAATTCTGAACTCTAGGAGGAAGAAATTATTATTTTGAATAGTAATTTTCTGATGAACGAATGCTACAGAAGGTATATTACGAAACCCTTCTGAATACGAAACTCAAAAGAGCTTTTGACCAAACCTCTGTGGCAACGTAAAATTCGAAGGATTCCGGGCGAAACCTTTTTATATTTTAAAACTCTTTAAAGTCTTTTACGAAACCTTGGATACCGCGAAACCTCATGCAAATTTCGCATTATTCTACGGATCCTTATATAGTATAGTAAAACTCGACGAAACCTCAAAGGTTTCGTGTGGTACCTTTTTTTTTCAGTGTACTCACATTCAACAACTCAACTACAGATTTTTTTTGCTTTCTATTCTTCTCTCCCTTTCTTTCCTCACAAAGCAATCAAATAACGCTTGAAGCTTATGACTACTCTTCGATCAACATTGGATAGGTAGGCAGCGTAAACAGCCATTGCTGAAGACAATATTCGATCACTTAGCATCTTTAATAGAAGGCGAACATTCGATCTCACTCATTATTTCATCTGAGGAATTAGTTTTCAGCGGCATCGTTACTTTTGATAGCATTAGAAAAAATAATAATGTTTACTTCTGTAGTTTCAGGATATGTGTGTATATTAAAGAAGTTGTGATCTGTACACCCGCATCCCACACCCACACCCACACCCACACCCAAGCCCTCTAGAACCCACACCCGCGTTTGGTGAGCATTCATGTTTAAAATTTCTGCTCTCTGGTAGTGTCTCTCATAACATTGCTAGAATACTTTATTTAAAAGCGAAAAAGCACTTCTCAAGAGCACACGTGAGGCTCTCTTTTAGGGATGCTTTTAATTAATCTTTATTTTATTTTTACGCTCAGTCAATGATGCGTTTTCTTTAGATTAATCGATCTTCTGTAGAGAGCTCACGTAAACAATTATTTTACCTTGTTTGAGTAAATGAATAATCAATGATTTTTAATAAGATCAATTGATGAAATCAGTAGATTGAAGGAAAAAGTAGATTTATGTAAATAAAGATAACACTGAAGAAAAAATAATAATTCTCTGGTAAGCAAATATAATGATATATCGTTATATATTTGAACGAGAAAAGCCAAACAACGCAATAACGAAAAACCACAGCTAAGCCAAAAACATCACATGATCTCAGTCATGAGAAGGATTATCTATATCAAATAGAAAACAAGTAAAGAAAACGTATTTCAATGATATGGATAAGTTAGCGTCATGAAGTGACATCTACTGACGCTAACAGCACAATATACTTCTATAAAGCGTCGAAAAGTGTTTTATATATTTTATCTAAATTAATAAAATAGTACTTAATGGTGTTTTCAAAGGAGAATTTCGAACTTTTATTAAGGGTTTCAGCAAGAGCTACACATTTCGATTCAAGTCGAAATTCTGTCGAGCGTTCTAATAGCAGGACTTATTTTTAGAATCGAAATTTTGGCCTATGACCATATTCCTATAATTTGAACTATTTCCGCATAGATCACCTCTTCATTTCTGAGTTGCTTAGCCCTCTCGATATTTGTATACCTAACTCTATGAAAATAAAAACCACGGTGGATAGTAAGACGACCGTGGGCAAATAGCTTCTATGGTAGAATTTTTTCGAGGAGTTCCCTCGTCGTGTAATACAATTCCTCCAGCTAAAACGGCAGCCCACCAACTAAAGGAGCCAGAAGTAGCTATAACATCAGTACATAAAGCGAGTGCAGCAAGATCTGCAGTAGGTGAGAAGTTATCTGGAGTGACAATGATATTACTTCTATTTTGAAATGTTTTTCGACAATACGGTTTGTCGTCACTTGCAATAATGAATAATGTTCTATTTCTATAACGTCTGTTGAAGTACGCAATCGCTTTGTTCAGAAAATCCACGGTTGGCACAGTGCGACCAGCATCGAATGCAATTTTTCTTAGATTATCTCCTCGTCGAATATGAATACCAATCCATATAACTGAGGATGTCATCCTAATACTTTCTTTGACGCGCTTGAAACTCGCGTTACTATTGTTAAATTGAAGATTAGATAATACTGAATTGATGAAGGGAATAATAGTTCTCACAACATTTGGTTTGAAAGAAAGCAAGTTGCGAATTTCATCCATGTACTGGCTGAAGTATCCATAAGCTTGCCAATAGCCTTTTAACTCAAAGTATTTAACTGCCTCTGGTCTCATCAGCTTAGGATCAAAATGACAGTCACTGTATTGTGAGCTGATATTTTGTTTTTCCAAGAGAGTTATGTCTTCTTGGCTCATTTCATTCATTAAGTTCAATTCAAAAGTTTCACGAAGCTCTTTTAGAATGTGCTCTCCAATATGTAATAAACACTGATGAGTTCTTGAAAGTCCATATGCACTTGCAACCAGAAATAAAAGGTTACCTAGACGTCCATTGATATCTCGTATGAGTATAACACAGCTGGACACGAGATTCGAAGATATATGTGTCGTAATTTGACTTGTTCTTGTCCTTCTTTCTACAGAGAGTTCGCCTGAATTTATGAAAAAAGAAAGTAATTTTGATCCCAATTTAGATTTTGGTGGAGAACAAACATCATCGTTCAAGTTTGACGCTAATAGAATGCTTATCACAATGAGTTGCGTTATTGCAATGCTAAGGAACACCAAGTAGCGTCCTCGCAGGAGCATTTGTTCAAGGAACTAAATCAGTGTTGATGATTCTGAATGAACAAGTATAAGAAGTGCCTTCATTACATTATTAAGTTCTAGTATATGTAGGATCAAACAGAAAGGGGGAGGGCTGTAGAAATTGCCCCCTTTACCTTGAATTCTCTCATTTTGACTTTATAAAAGTACATGTACTTCTACAATAGAAACTGTACCTAGTAGTTAGTTTTGTTATAAAAAATGATTTGAACGTGTGGACGATGGCGCGGAGTTTGTATTTTTTGGGTGTGGGTGTGGGTGTGCGAAAAATAGGAAGAACTATTCTCATACCACACCCACACCCTGATGCGCTACTGAAAATTGAAATTCGAAAAATTTCACAATACACTAAGTTTTCTGTTTTAGAGACTAGGTAGGAGGGTCTGAGTACGCTTGTCAGAAAAATCCCGTATTAAAAATTCGATGAAATGTTAGATCTTCTTTTAAACAGTAAAAACCGCAGATCTTTATCCAGTTCCTATCAAAAATTATACCAAAATTATTCACTCTTCTTTCAATTAGAAATGGAAATTAATTTCTCGGTTTCTGTGATTGCTACACTCTAAAAAATATCATCTGTTTACAGAATCCCTAAAAAAAGTTACCAACATTTCGAAAAGCGTCCAAAGATGTCGAAAGGAGGGACTGTGAAAAATAAATTTTATATCGTTTTACTTTTAAGCGCTAAGAGCTACAGGAATCTTACTCCTTTAGTCCTTTTAGTCCCTTTATAAATTCATGTAATGAAACTGTATGTTTCATGGTTCAAAAAGCCATTTGTAACGTTATATGCGGAGAGCGTCCAAATTCCATCCGGGGGTGTAATGCTCTCGTTCAACTGTAACCTATACATAATATTTGGTCTTATGGTGTCATTTATTCTCATCACACCTATCGCCTTTATCTTTCTGTCCTTTACATTAGTGTTTGCCTATCCTTCTTCTTGGTTCTCTCAAATAGTTGAGTGCTTAAGCGTATGCCTTATATGTAATCGATGCGATTTATGATTTGAAGAGTTAAATAAAATGTAATACCATCAGTACAGGCATCTCTTCTATCTAAAATCGTCACACCATTGTTTTCATTTTTGTCATGTTTTTGAATCCCTGGATAGTAAAGCAAGTAAAGGTACTCTTGGTACCAGAATGAATGCCGGCATTAAAAAGACTAAACGGACTAAACGGGCTAAAGGGACTAAAGAAGGGAGATTCGTGCAGTTTTTAGAGCTTAAAAGTAAAACGATGTAAAATTTATTTTTCGTGGACCTATGCACTGAGAAAAAAAGGTACCATACGAAACCCCAAAGGTATCCGATTTTTGCAACCAAATCGAAATCCTTTGAGGTTTCTTAGAAATTGGGTTTCGTAAAAAGCCTTAATTTTAATAGCTGATAACAGGGGTTTCGTATTTGGGGTTCCGTATAATTCACCACGCAATATTGAATGAAAGATCCGCCGGGTGCTATGCTCCATTATGGAAGTAGTTTTCCACCACTATTCACTGCAAAACACACCCATTCTCTAAAAAAGAACCGGGTTCTGTAGAAACCACCAGGAAAGATGTCTGAAAGTCGCCGTATTCTGTAGGAGAACACAGGATATCGCTGGAACATGGAAGCAGTATTCCGACCGCCAACTTTCGCAAATTGTTTTCAATGATTTCCGGTGCAACTTGCCGAAAGACATCGCAAGTTGGTCGGAACTCACTAGAAAAATCAGGAAGGTTTGCGACCGGGATACTGTTTCCATGTTCCACCGACACCATGTGTTCCCCGACAGAATACGGGGACTTTCAGGCATCTTTCCTGCCAGTTCCTCCAGATTCCGGTGGGTGAAGCGATCGATGTGGGATGTTTCATCTAAAAAGAAAAAAAAAGAATTAATTCATCAGCTTTTAACTTTCTAAATGGAACTCACCATTAAATATTGGTTCACCTGAGAATCGATCTAAGAAGAAATAAAATGATTTATCCGGTGGTAACTCTTAAAATCGAACTCACCATTAGTATTTCTTCATCTGAGGGTGGATCTAAATATAAATAAAATATCTCATCAGGATGTAACTTATAAAAATGTAACTTACCATTAGTATTTGTAGAGCTGAGCCTGGATCTAAACAGAAAAAAAAATTCATCACCTTGTAACTTTCAGATCCGAACTCACCCTTATCATTTGTTCAAGTGACCCTTGCGCTAAATCGAAACAAATATTTCACCGTCTTACGTTTTAAAGTAGAACTTACCATTATTATTTGATCAAATGACGCTTGATCTCAATAAAAATCATATTCGGGTTGCTGGAGCTCGATAAACTATTACAAAGTTATTTGACAATTTTGCCCGGAGTTGTAATAAAAAATCTTATTGTGGCAGAAATTGAATTTTTGATCGGTGCGATGTGGTGATCGGAAACGTTCTTCAGAAATATATTGAACTGACATGATGGTCTCGTTGTGTAGCGATCAACAGCTTTTATACTGTGGGATCCTCTTACAAATTGGGAAAAGCTCGGAAACTGATGTTCTCGTTGTGTGTGAATGGGCTTCTTCTAAAATTCTGAACAGTAGAAAATAGAAGTTATTATTTTGAATCGGAATGTACTGATGAACGAATTGTAGACAAGGTTTATTACGAAACCCTTCTGAATACGAAACTCGAAAGGGTTTTTGACCAAACCTCTGGGGTAAGACACAATTCGAAGGGTTCCGGACGAAACCTTTTTACATTTTAAAACTTTCTGAAGTCTTTTACAGAACCTTGGATTTCGCGAAACCTCATACTGGTTTCGTATGATTCTACGGATACTTATATGGTATCGTAAAACTCGACGAAACCTCAAGGGTTTCGTGTGACACCTTTTTTTTTCAGTGTGGTCGAAAGTCTCAAAAAAAGGATAAAAACTCTACAAAACCTTTAAAGGGTCGTACGGTATACCCAAAATAAGAACCTTTTCCTGCGAAACCTTTTCAAAGTTCCGTACAGCAGAAAAAGGTTTCGTAAAAAAATACGATACCTTTAGAGTTCCGTCACAAACTCTAGGAAATCATGAGGGTTTAGTATGAAACAAGTAAGGTTTATTACGAAACTATTACGGCTCAGTATGAAACTCTAAAGGTTTCGTAGGAAAATACGAAACCTTTTCCAACGGTACGGAACTTAAAAAGGTTTGGTAGGAAAAGGTTTTTATTCCGGGTACACCGTAAGAACCTTTAAAGGTTTCGTAGATTTTTTATCCTTTTTTTGAGATTGGCGACACCTTTGGAAGCGTTTCGAAATCCCCAAAACCTTTTTTAGGGATTCGATAAACAGCCGATTTTTTTAGACTGTACTGATTGCTGGCGATTTCTACTCCTGAAAGTCACGCTTTTTCGATTGATTGCAAGTCGATAGAAGTTATTAGAAAATGCTAGAAATTGATAAAAAAATCACAAGGAAATAACAAAAACTGAAAGTTTGCAAATATAAAAAATAATAATAAAACCATCAGAAATTAGTGTTTGAATTTTACCATTATAAACAGAGTTTTTGGTGATACTCAATGACTTCTATTGATTTTCTGTGATTTCAAATGGTTTTTAACCATTTCTGATAATTTCCAATATTCGCAAACTCCCCCCAACAATTTTCCGTGCCTTTTAAATAAAATGTTGATTTTCTGTGATCTCTATAGATTTTTCAGGTATAAATCAGTTTATTCCGCTAGGTTATTCTCAAAACACGTTGTTCAAGCAGGTAAATATGAGGTGACTCCTATTTCACTACTCTGAAAGAGAAAAAAAGAAGTACTGCAGAACCCTTTTATGGTTCCGTAGCTCATGCGGAACCATTTCAAGTTCTGTATGACAGTACTGAACTTTTGAAGGTTTCGGGAAAAGATTCAAAACCATAAAAAGTTCTGTGTTGAAGAATACTGAACCTAAAGGGTTCTGCACAATGACACTGAACCTATTAAGATTCTGTGAAAAAATGTCGAACAATAAAATGTTCTCTAGTCAAAAGTACGGTACCCGACAGGTTCTGTCTTGTGATGCTGAACTTTGCAAGGTTCGGCAAAAGAATCATGAACCATAAAAAGTTCAGGGTGCAATAATACTGAACCAGATATAGGTCTGGGTAAAGATGCGGAACCATCAAATGTTTTCGATCCAAAAGGAGAACTCAAAAGGTTCTGTCCGATGATACTGAACCGTTTAAGGTTCAGCACAAAATTGTTGAACCATAAAAGGTTATGTTTCTGCAATGCTACACCGAAGAAGTTTTGTACACTAAAACTGAACCTTGAAAGGTTCTGTCAAAAATA